TCATTTTGGCATTGAAAGGCGTTGTTGGTTATGTGTCCAGTTCAAAGTGTGAAAAGCGACAGTAGGAACGGAGGGATTGCAAGATGTGTTTCCCCAAACACTGAGTTATCACATTGAACACTGACCATGTTTACTGTCATGTTATACAATCTAATTCATCATATTAAAGTTGTTTTTGTATCTCTTATTTCCTTAATCCCATCACCGTTGCCAGTTTTAGTGCTGACACCATTGCCTGCCGCTCATCAAACATGTACACCTTTCTTAAACCTTAACTTACACTAAACCCACAAACGCAACCATTGCGACTGCCATTGCCACTGCCACTGCCGCTTCCGCTGCCGCTGCTTGACTTAGTCGAAAGGTAGCAGTACGTGCTCAATCAAGGATGTCGAACACGCGTAAATTCTTCTGTGGGTGTCACTTAATGGCTACCGCATGGTGCGTGCAGCGAAGGGACGCAGAGTTTCCATGAATTGGCAAGTAAACGGAAGGAACGAGTAAGCAAATTAATATCAGACAGCAGCTCATATGTGGTTTCCCTAACAATTTTCTTGTGGCAGCTCTGCACTCTGCATATGTACACGTGTGCCTACGTGTGTGTATTCTTACGGATTTAATAAATATTTTCTAAAACAGTAAATAAATGTTAAAATAAATAAACGCATCTATATTCGTACTTCCATGCAATTCCCAAAAAGAGTAACTTCCTTAATTGAGACGATTGGTTGGCATTTAAGGTGCTTTCCAGTTCTTTAAATTTAATAAAATAAATGTATGAGAAGAAATTAAAAAGCTTCAATTTCTTTTAATTAAAACTTAAAATATGTTCTCAGCTTTGAACGTGTGTAATGGGCAGCTTTACTCAAATCGACGAAATTTTGGGTGGCATTATTCCACCAAAGGGAACATGTATTTGTATGTAAATATATACACATCAGTAAGCAGTATACGTATTCTAAATCCTTAAGTATGATCTTAATCTTTATAAGTATCTTTCTTTTTATAATATATATTCTTTATCCTTATATATAGACTTAATATTTATATACATCCTTTCACTTAACATATATTCTTAATCCTTGCATATCCCCTTTACGGATTATCCGAAAAAACTTAATCGGTTAAGTACATTAGCTGTTCGTTCGCATTGCTTTCAACCATTTAACACAGAAAATTCTGCATCTTTATACGGGTTTCAACCTTGTACGTAATTACCGGAATCGTAAAATCGCAATACTGACAGACAACTAAAGATTTAAATAAAATAAAGATTTAAGACTACGAAAGGTAGGTTCTATACTGTCTTTCATTAAAGAAATCGGACTTGGAGAAACACTCTAACCCGAGTGAGGGCACAATAGATCTTTTAGGTCGCAGTGCACAATCCCTTTTTTAATAATAAGAGAGATAAATGCATGATCTTAGATAATTACATCTGCTTTAGACGTGTCAAACGAGCTAACAGAAAAGGTGTGATGCATTTTTTAAACTTTTACACAATTAGTGGAACACATATATTAATTGAATCGAATACTATACAAAGGGATGATGTAATAAGAAGTAAAAGTGGAGGTGGAAAACATTCATCACAGACACAACATGGCATTCGGAGCCTGGACAGGTTTTAGCCTGTTAATTTGTTATCTATACATTATTGACAAAGATGTTGTATAATTGTTATATAGGTGCGAAGGATTGACAGTTCTTGTCGATGTCAGACTTCTTTGATGTTTCATTCGTGTTTGGAGTTTGTCCTTCTAACCTTCAGAAGTTATTGAACTGCAATTTCATTAGGACATTTGATAAACTTACTAAATATATTCAGTTGTTGGTATTATAATTTTCCTGTTTTAATTAATTTAATCCTCAAAAAGGATCAATAATCCAAAATTAATCAATTTCGTTATTTTTCACACCGACCATCGGAGTCCTACGTGCCATTATTCAGGTAAAAAATCATATTTGCACACTTTGCGCTGTCAACACATAAAGCCATTCAATGACTACCTCAGTTTTAATTATTGTTTAATATTTAAATGAAAAAAAACATTAGACTTTAACAATTAAAATCAATGCAGACGATATTTATTTCACAGGAACTATTCAAATTCTTATTCAGTTGAGGGATACGGGAAAAAACCGTATGAAAGAGATACCAAATTGCTCTGAAATCATGTTTTACTACGACGTGGAGTAACTCCTCCGAATTCATTATAATTTATTTTATTATTTTTCCCATATATTTTCTGTATATAGTTTTTTCACGAAGTGCACCGCGATTCGATGTGTGCAAAATTAGCTAAGTTGCTGTGAAAGGCAGGGTTGTTATTTAAAAGCAAATTTTATAAACTGAGTTTTTCAAATAAACAATTAAATTTAAATATTGCACAGTATTTGCAGAACTTTGACACAACTTGTGATTTGTGTAAAGTACTCGTATTTAGAATTTGTGTGCTAATATGGTGACTATTCCATTATCTAAACAATTATTCCAATCAATCCATTCAATTATTCCATTTTCAGACGTTTATATCATGTATGATTTTCACACACCTAACTTCACACTCGTATTGTATATAATATAATAAAAGTTTTTTTATTTTTTTATATGATAATTATTTAATACATTGTATTCTTTTATATATTCCACATTGTGGAACTTTTATTGAGCTTTTTTTACCTAATTGTAAATAAAAACAAAAGTCTTAAAATAAAATTGAAGAACCAGACAAAATTCATTGATAAACAACATCTTCGGTAAATGAAATCAACTAGATATTAGAGATTGTAGATCAGTTAAAATCAAGGTCTTAACTCACGAAATTGTGATTGGAAAGCAATATAATGAATAAATCCAATAAACTATAGGCTGCCGCACTTATGCAGTAATCAATCCGCTGATTTGTTCTACCTCATGGAAAATAATGCACCAATATTCGATGCCGAAATACAAATAAGAAGAAATATAAAAATCTATTGCAATGCGACAATCGATATATATGTTAAGCAGAAAATGCAGGGTATAGTGTATTCATACTGTCTCAATTAGGCACTTCCTCATTTATAGTAATATTATAGTTCATTATAGTTCACATTATAATGAGCTCGTTTATGCAGCTGAATGTACTTTTATGAACTTCACTTAATAATATATATTATCACACAAATATTTAAAAAATTTTATCACTAACTTCCTGAATAACTTATTATTCCTTGATACTGGCCGTATTTAGACTTGTGCATCCCATCTATTTTTTTTTTTTTAAATATTTCGCTGAATTCTTGACATAATACATGTCAATTAATTAAGTCTTAGTTCTTCAGTTTAAAATTGGTTTCAGAGGTAACTCCGCAGAAAAATATACAGCGTATCCAAATTCCTTTTTATCAAAAATGTCAACGATGGTGTTTCAAAACTTTTGACACTAATGAAGTAATTTTATTTATTTTGTTTGAATGCATATCTGATATTAACACATTTTAACATATTCGGTCTGTTCCTTTAAGTATTTATAGTAAAATTCAAATAAAAAGTTAATTGTGTTTTATGGTTGTTTCTTCCCACACTCAAAATTTAGTACGATGAAAAAGTTAGTAAAATCAAGAAGTCGTTTTGATGGCATGAGAGTTTTATGATTATGAATTTCTAATTAAATTGAATCTTTACGTAAACAGACAGGGGTTTATTATTTTGATTCAGTTAATAAAGAGAAATACTCAATACGTAAAACTTTCATTCCATAATATAGCGTTTGAACTGGCCCCAAATGACTGATTTGCGTCAAAAATCACATATGAAAAGCAAATGATTGATTTCTGCATACAAAATCTCAAATGAGAAAATGAGATCCACATTCGCGCAATGGATCCCATTTTGTATAATGAGTTTCAACGAGGTTAGAAAGAGTTCCAAATATATTCGCAATGCAAATGAATACATTGAACATAACCTAAATAAAAGTTTTTCATGGCATTTTGACAGTTTGAGAAAGCTGTTTTTGATATATTCCCAAAAAAAAATGTAAACAAATATTTGGTGGTTGCATTTCCTTCAAAACGATGCACCTCTTTTTGGAACTTTTACTTCCCAAAACGTACTTAATCGATGCTAAGAACAACTTTTTAGTTTATATTGTATTGTAAGGTATATTTTACCTTAATCCAACTTTTTTTGCCATAGGCCAAAAACCATAGCAACCGGCACGTTGATAAATCAGCTGTTTGAAATGAGAAAAAAATTAATAACAACGAATGAAAACATTCGTTTTCATCAGTCAAATGACTGATTTGAAATGAGTCCAGTGCGGCCAGTGTAAATGCATTATTATATTGGGAATAGTATAAAAGCAGTGAAGTATATATACAGTGACAATCTAACCTATCATATATTAAAAATACTTTGGTTAAGCGACGTAGATAGAAGCTATAACCCATATCTACAGCTATCCAAATTGTGCTCTTATCCTCTACATCACCAGATCATTTTTAAATAGTTGAGTACCATGATTCGTTAACATAAAACCCTACGAGTGGAATATTCCACACATACTGTAAAATTTTGTCAATTAAAAAAATTAATATTCTAGTATACATTGGAGTAAAAATATAAAAAGTGAATTAGAAGTGATTAATTCTTCACATCTTTATTACAAATCGATACCATGCTTTTTGCATAAATTGCTCTTCTTAGTAAGGAAACACGATTTTATGCTCATTATTAATGGTATGGTACTTCTCCTTTACTTGGAAAGTACGGGTACAGACATATTAAGTAAACTCACAATACATTGATATGATAGGCTAAATAATCTATTTAGCCATGGATGTAATTCTGAACGTTCTGTGAAATATGTCATATTCCAATAATATAATGAAAAAATACAACTCAGTTCTAAATATATTGTCAAAGCAATAGGAGTTGAAACAATTTGACGTGATTAAGAAAACCATCACATACATCATTTTGAAGAGCAAAATTTCTGATTTGGTAAACGAAAATGGGTAAACCAAAAGTAGTCTTTGCTATTGGGGATTTGGTATTCGCAAAAGTTAGAGGTTACCCTACATGGCCGGCGAAGATCACTTCTCATAAGAACGGCGTTTACATTGTTATCTTCTATGGAACTGGCGATGAAGGACATATTAAGCGTCAAAATCTTTTTCAATACACAGAAAAGGCGAAAAAAAAATTCTCAACGGCAAGGGCATTAAAAGATCCCGCTTTTCGGAAGGGGATTGAGGAAGTTGAGGCGGCATTAAAGGACGTACACCCCGACCCTATAAGGGGTGATGACATTGCAGACGATACTCAACCTGATGATAATGTTGCAGCTATTAATACCCATGCTGGTGGTGATGAAGAACAAATGACGGCTGGAGAATCTGTCAATATGTCAGAGACGGTAGAAGTTAATGAGGAAAACATACGGGTCGCCATACGGGTGGACGAGGAAAAGAGCAGTCAACCTAAAGATTACCCCAATGTTACATGCCTCCCACGACCAATAACACCTGAGCACTATGTTGACAAGGAGGAATGCCTAAGTACAGGTCAAGAGGAGAATGTAATTTCAGTATGTAAATACTTTGATGTTATATAAAAAACATGGTATACTTAACAAATTGTGGGCTAAGATATGTTTTTGGGTGCAGTATCCAATGTCGTGAAATAATATTAAAATTTAAAATTTAGTGTAGCTAGCTGCTAACTTTATAAGTTTAATTCATAAATGAAAATAAATAATATATTTTTGTTTTAGGTGAATGTTCTAAAAACATTGATGCTAATAAGCCAAAGACAATAATCCCTCCAAATACAACCAACTCAAATTAAATAAGGTTCCCTTTACTCGTATTCCGCCTTATATAATTAATTATATGCAATAATTTCAAGAGATTATTTAATTTTAATAATTTAATTTTAATTCATTTATTTTAATAATAAAATTTGAACGCTAATCATTGTATTTTTACTTTCAATTAATTTTGACATGATTTTTGTTTACATTCCAACTATAACTAAGTTATCGGAACAGCTGATTTCAATGAGTCACTTATCGAGATGCTTATTGGAACCAAAACAACTTAAACACTCGGGAAAGCTTTTAGATGAAGAAGTTAGGGTCGTGTTTTCTATTAGATCAACACTTTTAGATAATGAAATCCCGAAGAGCTTTTTTGTGAATGCGTGAATTTGTTTAAAATGAACAGGTGACATTTCGGGCCAAGCAGAAGCCGAAAGAGCATAGAGTATCGAACTAATTACTGGAAACAACGTATTTTTAATAACAGAGACTTTGATCTGAAGATCAATGGTTAAGAATTGTTAATAAGACCAATAAACGCATAGGATTGTTCTTCCTTTTCTTCTTTCGCACACAAAACAAACAACGGATCCCATATGGCCTCAAACTGAATTGGCAGATAGAAAACAACCCAGTGTCCAGGTTCATTCATTAAATGTATCATTGAAGGCATTTCGTTGCAATAAAATAGTTTTATTTTTTTTAAGTTGAGTGCAACTCTGATAAATATATAATATATATCTGAACATATTGCTGACATTTACAAACAATTCAAAAACGAAATACATCTGAAAGTGTTATTTGTTCCGCTTCTTGAAAGCTTATATTAAAGTTACTGTAATTCTGTTTAATTCCGTTTAAGTTGAATAAACAAAACTTCAATTAAACATGGAATATAAAATTAATTAAATAATATAAATAATATATCTGATGAGTCTGTGTCGGGAATTACCTTCTAAAGATTTTTGCCATCAGTTTGATGTAAATGTAATTTCTGCGGTCGGGCAACATCTTTTTATCAATTCCCTCAACTCAGTCCCACTGGGGCAATTTTTGCATAGAGCATGCGGCATTGGGCTTTCATCTGAACTACCAGTCATAAGAACCGCTGGAACTGTTTATTGTAGAACATATACACAATGGCCAACGACCCGCACAGAATTGTAAGACAAAACGGCCACTCTATAATCAACTGGGACTAATGAACACGAATGAGCTAAGCAGTCTAGATGTGGCTTCCGAAAGAATTTTGGACGCGTATTCGCTTCTTAGTCCAGATAAATACTTTTGTAAGTGTGAGTTGTGGCGATAATGGCAATAAGAGCAGAAACATAATGGCAATAAGAAACGGTGTAGGATATACGTGTGAGCAGTTAGTTAATCAGGGTAGTTACGATAATCATGCCTTGTGCAATTATTTAATAGTGCATAATAATTATTTTCTCCTGGGTCTTTTTATTTCAATAATACTGACTTAGTTGCACAGTGTTTGATGTTCTAACTTTTGGAAATTGATGAAACAAACTCACTCTCGGGTGAGTGAAGATGGTACAGTATAGAGCATTAGTCGTAGTCTGTAATGATGGCACAATTGAAGTTTATCCTTAATAGGATTTTAAATCTATTCGCAATAGGTTTAATTTATATAGATAAATAAATGACCTCTGTTTTTATTGTTTATTGGTGTACACTAGCTCAATTGTGTTTCGTCTAGAAATAATGGAATTCTATACGAAAAGTTTTAAATAGATGATGAGTGAAATGTTTGTGTGATGTCTGCTAGAAAGTCTGCTAGAAGTTCATATGGATGTAATCTTTACATTCATGTAATAAATAAAAATGAATAGAGGTGCTATAAACATCTTTATTGGTAGAAAATATAAGGAATACTCATGATCTTAGAAAAATTGATTACAACCGCGTTTACAATGAAGTAAAAAGATGATCATACCCAAAAAAGTAAGACATATCTTCTACATATTGATGCATTGGTATATGTATATATATCTTATGCTGCTTATTAAGATGATTTCATATTTTTAAATTATACAGCGTGAAGTTTTAAATAGCATTACTGTATGGGATAAGCATAAACTAGAGTTAAATCTGAGCTAACTCGAAACATATGTTTTGAATGAGTCTTTTGATCACTGTTAAACTCTCTTAAAAATGTGTAGTATTTGTTTATACGTATATGTATATAGCAAATGAAGAGACTACTAAGCTGCAACACAACAATAGAAAAGCAATAGGACGATTCAAGTAAAAAGTATCTGCAGAATTAGTCAAATTGTGACAACTTGGGACAATCGCATCGATAGTAGCTGTAGGAAATCCCTTGGCAAGCAATTGAAAGAACAACGTTACAGATAAGTTTAAATAGTTTAAATAGTTGAACTTATTAAATTTCTACAGGTCGGTTCAGAAGAAGGGTTGAGAAAATTACAGGTTTTTACATCAATTTGCGGTGAGATTAAATTAAACGCTTTAATGAGTTGACGATTGGGTTTTTCTTTTTTGGGGTATTTAATTGGCAAAACTGATTTGTTTTAACTACAAAATAGCAGTGACATCACAAGTTTAATACTTAGCATGAAAAGTGTTTAGATAAGCTAATTGTACTTTACGGTTTTCTGTTTTAATTTCAATTAATATTAAATCAGTGATTGAAATATTGGGCAAGTTTTGCAATGCAAGTAGCTCGATTCGAGATTTCTTATATTTTTGATAAGATTTGTATGTTCGAAAGCAAACAAGCCTTGTTTTCGAATTTAATCTGCAAACAAAAATTTGTAACTTGTAAACTTTGTCAGTAAGGCTCAGACGGATCACAACTATTCGATCAAGGTTTCAAATTTGAATGCGCTCGAGCTGAAGAACATAGCAAAGGCCGATTTAATAACTGATTTAAATCTGTTTTGCTTTAGTTCGATAGTATCTCATCCAGGAAAGGCTTCTCTCATACCCATGTGCAGTTTTAAAAAAATTAATGAAATTTATTAATATTTTTTGCAAGACGCATTTTCATTTATGTTTTAAATTATTGGCAACACACTATTACAAAGGCACTTCCAAGTGCTCCAACGAGTGCAGTCGCTGTCAAAGTAATTTCCAATTTTGAAAACTCTTTATTTCATCACTTATGCACTGCTGAGTTCATTGAATTTTGAATAACCACTTGAAAACGTCGATTGAGCATAAAAGTGCACAATTTCCGGCTCCGTATTCTACTGCCACGGAGAATAGCAATAGCAACAGCCATTGCCAATAAAAAATGCACTGATAAACACAATACAAAGTGAGGCACTACAAAAATATTGCGAAAAAATACAGAAAAAACCTTTTTTTAAATAATGCCGGGAAAATATTAAACTAAAAATAAAAAAATAGAAAATCCAAGAACAAAAACATGAAAATTGTGTATGAAATGGCAAGTCAAAAAGCGGCTTTCCAAGTTGTCGTGGCTCAAATGTAGTAGATTTTTGTTTCCTGTATCCTGCGTCCTGCGACCTGCACTCTACATTCTGCGTTCTGCGTCCTGCTCTGCACTTTATGAGCAGTTCGAACGATTCGAGGAGTTGCAAATGCAGCTCGATGCCAAGTGCCACTCACAAAATTGCAGTTCAATCATCATTTCAACTCTTTTTTCTTCAATTTTTTCTCCAGTTTTTTTAACTACATTTCTTCTTCTATTTTATTTTTTTATTTTTTTATTTTTTCAGTTATAATTTTTCTTCACATTTTCTCATATATTTCGGTGAATTTTTTAGTGATCTCCTCTTTGGTTTCAATACGCGCCCTAGTGGTTTGTTAACCGTTTTATTGGCATGCTTTCGCTTGAAAGGATATGAAGTTTGTGGTAACTATTCGATATATTGTGCCACCCCAAATGTTATAATGCTCCTCCAGATTTCTTTTATCTACCCAGACATTTAGCATGAAACTCTATATTGCATTATTGCAATATTAAGTGTACGCTGTGCTGGCTCGATGGAAAGGCATTTGTCTACTCGAGTAAGGAAGTTCACCGTTCATCCGAAAAAAGTAGTATAATAGCTGCTGTTTTCTTCAGTAACGATTACAATATTTTATGCAAATATTTAAATATTATGAAAGACATCAAATAGTTAGAACCTTGAATCTTTAGTAATTCAAATATTGACTTAAAGAAACAGACTCAAGGATATACAATACGAGTATAAGAAGAATTCATCCGGTTCAGATTTAAAGTTGCAGGTGATAGACGTGGCGAAAATGGAATATTGTGATACGAGTATAGTATTTGACCAGTGTGTATATGATGCAATATGTATCACATAATGAATAAACTCCTTCAATGGGAATTTTCGAGTCAGACGGTACGAAGAGTTGAAGAACATAAGTTTAATACCATTAATGATATAATGAAACACATATTTTCACATTGAATTATACAGTTTAGTATATCTAAATATTATGAGTATTCGGTTATAGTGCAAACTCACATCTTGAGAACATAGCAGGCATAAAGATTATAACTTCAGTATGATGGCAAGTTAACTCTCATTTATACTCGATGATGGGTACCTGATAAGCCTATCTGATGTTAGATTCGACGGTGTTGGCAATCATCATCGATGTATTCAAGATGCATAAAAAGGAATTTATGCTAAAAGAATATCTATATATGTCGCATACGAGGACAGCAACTGATATTTAGAGTCAGTTAAAATTTGCATTGCTGTGTTGAAGAATTAGTTGCGGATGCATTCCGGAGTCACTTATCTACCAGTTGATCAAGTGCTACACGTAACACT